GTTTAAAAAGTAAAATAAATTCAGCTTCCAGCTCCTTTGGGTAGGGGAGCTGACACAAGCTATATAGTTGGATGTTCTAGAGCTTGCTATGTAAATGATGCTGGCCTTGACCTCATAGAGCTCTGCCTTACTTTGCCTCCCAAGTGTTGGATTTAAAGGTATGGGCCACCATCCCACTGTTCCAGATTCTTTAAAGGGAAGGAAGGAAGGAAGGAAGGAAGAAAGGAAGGAAGGAAGGAAGGAAAGAAGGAAGGGTGTGAGTGTTTGTATGTGTCTGTATTCTGCTAAGTCATATGCACTCAAGTGCCTGAGGAAACTAGATGTGCTAAAGGCCCTGGAGCTGGAATTACAAGCAATTGTAAGTCACCCAATGTGGGTGATTATGAACAAAAGTCAAATGATGGGAGATGTCATTCTGTAAATATGTTTCTTTTATTGGTTAATGAATAAAGCACTGTTGGGAAATAGAAAAGCAAGATAGGCAGGACTAGGAGACAAGAAGGATTCTGGGAGATGTAGAAGATTCAAGATGTAGAGACTGGAGGGAAGAGGTCCGGACTCTCTCTCCGGTAAGAGAAGATCATGCAGAAATACTTAGATTAATAGAAATGGGTTAATATTTAAGACAGAGCTAGCCAATACGAAATTCTAGTAACTGGCCAACAAATTTATATCTAATACAGTGTCTCTGTGTGTTATTTGGGGCTGATGTGGCTCTGGGACCAGGTTGGTGGGAAAGCTGCTCATAATAGTCAAGTTCTCTGGAAGAGCAAGAAGTACACGCTGTCAACCACTGAGCCACCTTTCCAGCCCACAGTCCAGTCTCCAGCCTACAGCCCCATCTCCAACCTACAGTCCAGTCCCTAGCCTACAGCCCAGTCTCCAGACTACAGTCCAGCTTCTTCAAGCTTCCAGGGTGGACTGAAGACCAGCAGCTCTCCAGTAATGCTCTGGTCCTTCTGCACCAGAATGGAACTGCAGAGACAACAGCCTTGTGGACTGCGCAAAAACTGGGTTCTAAGCCTGTCCAGCATGCAGACAACCACTGCTGGACAACCCAGCCCATATCAGATAACATATCTAGTAAGTCCTCTTTGTAATAAATGTTCATTCTATCAGTTCTGTTCCTCTGCAGAACCCTAATACACCATCTAAACATTTTTGACTCCCAAACTACCAATACAGGTGTAAATATACCACATGTCCAAACTAGACTTCTAATATTCACATACCTCCACCAAAGGAAAATATCACCAAATCAACTGGACAGCCTGGACGGCAAGTCCTAGGCATCCTGCTATCTGCTTCCCCAGCATTGAGATTGCATGTACACACCACCATACCTGTTTGTTTGCTTGTTTGCTTGCTCTTAAATACATGGTTAATTCCCATTCTCCTGCTCATGCAGCAAACACTGAGCTATCTCCTCAGCTCCTCAAGGTTACCAATTCTCATCACCATGCAGAGCTTGTAGAGAACACTCTTGGCTCTCCATTGTATTGGTATCAACTATAGACAAGTGTTCCCAGCCTCTGCTCAATGCACAGAGAGTTAGTTCTTTTGGCCATAAGCAACACATCTTTGGATAAATCACATCATGTCCTGAGCCTCAGGGTCTTCTACTATGAAGTGTGAGCACTGATTCCTGCCTCCCCGGGCTGCCAGAAGGAACAAGTAAGCTTAGACTCGAAAAACAAACTTTTAATGCTGGACAACAGAAAGGGTTGTAGTTTTCAAAAGGGATTTCACTACGAATCTAAATGGAAAACAAAAGCTGATGTAAGGGGCTGGGGAGATGGCTTGGCTGTTAAGCATACTCATTATCTTGTAGAGGATTCAGGTTAGGTTGCCAGCACCAGGTACTAACTCACAACATTCTGTAACTCCAGCTCCAGGGAATCCAACATCATCTTCTGGCATCTACAGCACTAGACACACATATGGGGCACAAACACAGAGGCAGGCAAAACACTTATATACATCAAAGTAAATGAATAAATAATTTTTAGATGCTGGCATAAGGTTTTTGGGTATTTTTTCCCTCATGCCACACAATATTCCAGGTTTTATAGAATGACTAATCAAGCCACTGATGGTTTCAACAGACATAATTGGTTGGGCAGCCACCAACCTCAGTTCTAAGTTGTATGGACACTGAGAAAGGGCAGTGTGAAACCACAGCTTGCCCAGGCTCACAACTGGTCCTCTGGCCTGCTCAGTTTACACTACCAACCCTTTTCTCACCCCACATTTCCCAAGGAGCCCTAAGTCCTGCCAAGCGGCTTGACCTTGTCTTAGCTGTCTTTACCCCTCTGGGACCTTTCTGGTTCAGGCCCTAAGGCAAAACCCAGACTGCCACTGAAGTTTATGACCTCTACAAAAATTCAGCATCCTCTCCATAACTCTAGGTTTGAACTTAGATCCTCTAACAACCGGTTTCTAAAGTCTTAGTAATTGTGAGTATGGTGACTCACACTTCCAGTCCGAGCCCTCAAGAGGCTGAGAGTTTAAGGCCAGCTTGAACTGGATTGAGATCCAGGATTGACATCGGAACAGGGGTGGAGGAGGGCATGATGCCACAAAAATTAAAAGGATTATAAGAGATGTCTGTGAATAATTATATGCCCAAAATGGGCTGGTGTGGCCAAAATGGCTGGGTTACATAGGAATCAGAGAAATGGGGGGGGGCAGCCCAATTCCTGGGCTGGAGTTTAGAGTAGGGTGCAGGTACTGGGGGATGCTGGGAGAGCCTGGTGAATAGTGTCGGTTTTGATAATTTACTAGGCATCTCAGCCATTTGTCCTGGGTTTGAGACCTAATATTAACAAACTAAATGTCCTTCAAGAAATAGATAAATTTCTAGAAACATATAAAGCACAATGAAGACTGAATCATAAAGAAATAGAAAATTTGCTCCTGGGTGGTTCCCACACCTGTAATCCATGCACTTGAGAGATGGAGGCAGAAAACTCAGGAGTTCAAGGTCACCCTCAGCTTCATAGTAAGTTTGAAGCTAATCTCACATACTTGAAACTCTAACCAGAGAAAGGGAGGGAGAGAGAAAGGGAAGAAGAGAGAGGAGAGGAGAGGGGAGAGAAGGGGAGGGGAGGGAAGGGAAGGGGAAGGGAGGGGAGGGAAGAGGAGAGGGGAGGGGAGGGAAGAGGAGAGGGGAGGGAAAGGGGGAAGAGAAAGGGGGCAGAAGAGAGAGGGGGGAGGGGAGAGGAGAGGGGAGGGGAGGGAAGAGGAGAGGGGAGGGAAAGGGGGAAGAGAAAGGGGGCAGAAGAGAGAGGGGGGAGGGGAGAGGAGAGGAGAGGAAGGGAGGGGAGGAGAGAGGGAGGGCAATATACACTTAGATACCTAGCACTTGGGAGGTAGAGACAAGAAGACCAGGAGTTCAAGCCAGACTTGCAAAGAAAGATCCTACCTCAAGAAAAAACAAATAAAACAACTGATATTTTTCAAGAGCTTTCTAAAAACTGAAGTAAAGGGAAAAGCTCTGGCTCCATTTTATGAAGGCATCATCGTCTCTGATCCATAGCCAGAAAAAGACACTGCAAGACAACAAGAGACTAAAATCCCTAATGAGCACTAATGCAAAAATAATCAACAAAACCCTAGCAAATTAAATTCAACAATACATCAAGACAGTTATAAACCATAACTAAGTAGATTCATCCCTGGAATGCAAGAATTCAACATATGAAAATTGATAAGTGAAATGGAACATATAAGCAGATTGAAGAACAAAAACCACATTATCGTCTCATATTGAATAAAAAGCATTCAATATAAATTCAATGCCTTTTCATGATAAAAAAGAAATCACAACACTCAAAACTGGGGACAGAAAAAAACAACTTCAACATAATATAGGCTCATAAATGCAAAGCCCACAACTGTCATTCTACAATGAAAGCCTTCACTTTCCTCTAAGATCTGGCACAAGGCAGGAAAGCTTTCTCTCACCATTCCTTTTTTGTTTTGTTTTGTTTTGTTTTGTTTTGTTTTGTTTTGTTTTTGTTTTTCGAGACAGGGTTTCTCTGTGTAACAGCCTTAGCTGTCCTGGAACTCACTCCTGGTCACTCTGTAGACCAGGCTGGCCTTAAACTCACAGAGATCTGCAAGCTTCTGCCTCCAGAGTGCTGGGACTGAAGGCGTATGCCACCACCATCCTGTTATTCTAACCATTTCTGTTCAGCATAGTACTGGAAGTCTTACTCAGAGAAACGAGAGTAGCTAAAAATAAATGATAAAAAAAGAGCATTCCATTGAAAAGGAAAAAGTAAAATTAGCTGGGGGTAGTGGCCCACTCCTGTAATGCCAACAGTTGGGGAGCTGAGGTGGGAGGATCAGGGTGTTGACCAGTGGCTAACATGTGGGACACCCTAGAGTCAATGCCCAGGGGATATATATACTGTTCAAACAAAAGACACAGACCTATGGCTTCTTCCTGTGAATCGAGGACACTGATAGCCACCTGGCTCTGGTGATTCAGAAGTGGGGAGCCCATTAGAGAAAGCGAGGCTCCTGGATAGAGACAGGCTTGTCAACCTTCACATATGTAAGTGTGCTATGAACTTCCTGACGCCTGTGGAGGCCAGAAGAAAACACTGCATCCCCAGAGATGGTTACAAGCCTGGGAACAGAACTCAGGACCTTTATGAGATCAGCCAGTGCTCTTAACCGCTAAGCCATCTCTAGCCCCAGCAAATCATTTTGGGGTTTTTGTTTGTTTGTTTGTTTTGTGATGCAGATGTCAGAGACTTTTTATGAGAAAATAAATCTGCATAGACATTTCTCTAAAGAGTGAACACAATTGGTCAATAAGCACCTGGGAAGACTCTCAACCTCATTGTTCATCAGGGAAATGGAATCAGATGTATTAGGAAAGATAGGGTCATGGTCAGACAGAAGGTCTCCCTTGTGAATTCCAAAATACACTTAAACAGGAGGATAAAGTACTAGTATTCTTAATGTATTTCAAAATGTCTTAGGGCTGTACTTGCTTCAGCAACACAATACTTAAATTTGAAAAATACAGAGAAGATCATCATGACCCCTGCCAAGGATGGTATGCAAATTCATGGAATGGTCAGTATTTTTTAATGTCTTGATTTTTGAGACAGTCTTGTATGTAACCTTATCTGACCTGGCTCTTGATATATGGTTTGGATGACCTCTCAGACTCACAGCAATCCTCCAACTTCCAAACTTCCTGCCTCAGTCTTAGGAATTCTGAGATTATGAATGAGCATCGCCACATGCAGATGCTGCTGCTGTTACTTCCTCTTCCTCCTTATCTTTCTTCTTCGTCTTCTTTTCATTGCTTTGAGACAGGGTCTCATTATTACTCCAGGCTGACTTCAAACTCATAGCATCTCCCAAATACTGGGGTTATACAAGCCATTAAATGTAACTTCAAAATATACAGTAGAGATTTTTTTTAATATTTCTAACAGGAAAGTGATAAGGGAATATTGGGTGTCTTTGAGAATAATGCAGCTTTTCTCTGCTTGAAGAACTAGGGCTATCAAAGACACCCCAACCATTAACATCCGAGTTCTTGTCTTGCAAACTCACAGACCACAGAGGGTAAAATTTAGAAAGAAACATTTATAGGTAGAAGTTCAAAAGGAAGATGCTGTAGGATTATTCTTCTGTACACTGTGAATAAATTTTATTCTCATTGGTTAATAAAAAAATTTGATTTGGCCTATAGCAAGGCACAATATGGCTAGGCGGGGAAGCCAAACTAAAATTACAAAGAAGGGTGGAGGGGTGTAGAGAGATGGCTCAGCTGTTAAGAGCACTGTCTGCTCATCCAGAGGACTCAGGTTCAATTCCCTGTATCCATATGGCAGCTCACAACTGTTTGTAATTCCAGCTCCAGGAGATTGACATACACAGATACACATATAGGCAAACACCAAAGAACATAAAAAATGATTTTAAAAGAGGAAGTAGAATAAATTTAAAAACAAAAACAAAAGAAACAAAGAAGGGTGGAGTCAGGAGAGTCAGGAGATGCAAGCCAGCCACCAGAGGAACAAGACCTGCTAGAGGACAGGTAAAGCCACAAGCCATGTGGCAAAATATAGATTAATGGAGTAATTTCAGTTGTAAGAGCTACTTAGTAATAAGCCTGAACTATAGGCCCAGCATTTTGTAATTAATATAAGCCTCTGTATGTTTATTTGAGACCAGGTAATGGGGTAAAAAAAAAAAATTCCTCCTCCTTTTACAGGAAGAGAGCAAGACAGAGACAGATAGACAGAAATGGGGGTGCATGTAGCATGAGGGGTCTCAGGAAACAGGACACCATCAAAATTCTAGTCTGGGGCTTTATTTATTCATTCATTCATTTATATGTTTGTGTACATTTGTGCACGTGAGTGCAGGTGCCTGTTGAGGCCAGAAGAGTATGAGATCCTCCAGAAAGCCATAGCCACTCAATGTCGGTGCTGAGAACTGAACTTGGTCCTAGCAAAGGCAGTATGTACAAAACACACACACAACAACAACAACAACAAAACAGGGTCTCAATATATGGTAGTGATTGGCTTGCTATGTAGACCAGGCTGACCTCAAAATCAATGAAATCCACCTGTCTCTATCTCCTCAGTCCTGGGATTAAAAGTGTGTGCCACCTTTAATCCCAGTGCTTGGGAGGCTCAGGCAGATAGATCTCTGTGAGTTCAAAGCCAAATTGGTCTACAGAGTGAGTTCCAGGACAGCCAGAGCTACACCAAGAAACCCTGTCATGAAAAAAACAGGAAAAAATGTGCATATCATTAGTAATAATATATTGTGTCTTGTATACTAAAAAGTAAAGAATGTTGATTAAAAACAATGTTAAACACATCTTCAATACTATCACTTGGGAGGTAGAGGCAGATGGGTCATTGTGAGTTGGAGGTCAGCCTGGTTTACATAGTGAGTTCTAGACCAGCCAGAAATACATACAGAAACCATATATATGCATTATGCTGTTTTCTGACAGTCAATGGTAGGTGGATAGACTGTGGAGGATTGGAACACAAGTGTGAGCAAGTTCTTTACCATTCAGTTAGACAGAGAATTACCTCTGAAGGAGGCAAATGTGTTGCCTCTTCCCTTGCTTTTGATTGGAAAAGGGTTATTGTGGCTCTCTGTTACCCTAACCCAATCCCTCAGACCACAAAACATCAGCTGCAGCCTCCCTTCCCCCATGTCCATGCCTCTATGGATCACACAAACCATCCCTTCATAACTTCCTCCCTGACTCATTGCTGCATCCCAGCCTCCAACATTAGTGGGCATTCCCTGTGAGCAAGGCAGTAACACAGACAAAACACAACCATAGACTCTCTGAAAATCCAGAGAGGAAACAGAAATCAAGGAACAGAAACCCACCCACCCAACAAAGACAAACCCAGGAATCAGCACCTACACCGATAATTCCCCAGTCTCAAATGCCTAGATGCCAGAGCCAAGAACACAAGATGAAGATGATAGGGGTTCCTAAAGAGAAAATAAACCCCTCAAGGAAAGCCAGGAAAACACAAGCAATTGGAGGAAATAAATGCATCCCTTAAAGAAAGCCAAGAAGCATGGCAGTGCTAGAGAAGCAGAGGCAGGCAGATCTCTGTGAATTCGAGGACAGCCTGGTCTACATAGAGAAACCCTGTCTCGAAAAAAAGAAAGAGAGAGAGAAAGAAAGCCAAGAAAAAACAAACAGTTGAAGGAAATAAATAAAACTGTTCAAGACCTGAAAATGAAAATAAAAACAATAAAGGAAACACAAACCAAGGGAATTCTGGAAATGAAAAATTAAGAAATTAAAACAGGAATAAAGAAGCAAGCTTCACCAACAGAATACAAAAGATGAAAGAGAGAATCTCAGCTATTGAAGATAGGATAGAACAAATGGATACATAGTCAAGGAAAATGTTAAACCTAAAAAATTCCTGACACAAAACATCCAGGAAATCTGGGACACTATGAAAAGATCAAACCTAGGAATAATGGGAATAGAGGAAGGAGAAGAATCACAGTTTAAAAACACAGAATATATTTTCAACAAAATCATAGAAGAAAATTTTCCTAACCTAAAGAAGGAGATGCCTATAAAAATACAATAAGCATAGAGAACACCAAAACAAATTGACCAGAAAAGAAAGTTCCCCTCACCACACAACAATCAAAACACTTGACATACAGAACAAAGAATATTAAAAGCTGCAAGGGAAAAGACAAAGTAACAAATAAAAATATATAAACCTATTAGAATTACACCTGACTTCTCGACAGAGACTCTAAAAGCCAGAAGGGCCTCTACAGACGTGATGAAAACTTTCAATTTCCATAAATGGAGAAAATAGGCTATCCTGTGATAAAGTCAAATTTAAACAATATCTATCTACAAATCCAGCCATACAGAAGGTGATAGGAGGAAAACTCCAACCTAAGGAGGTTAACTACCCCCATGAAACCACAGGAAACAAAATCTCACATCAGCATAACCAAATAAAGAAAAACACAGACACACACCAACAACAGCAACAATAAAATAACAGGAATCAACAGCCATTGGACATTGATATCTCTCAATATCAGTGGTCTCAAATCCCCAATAAAAAGACACAGATTAACAGAATGGATGTGAAAATAAGACCCATCCTTCTGTTGCATGCAAGAAACACAACTCAACATCAAAGATAGATACTACCTCAGAATAAAGGGCTAGAAAAAGGTATTCCAAGCAAATGTACATAAGAAGCAAGCTGGTGTAGCCATTTGAATAGCTAACAGAAACAACAGAAAGCTTATAAACTCATGGAAACTGAACAATTCTCTATTGAATGAAAAATTGGTCAAGACAAAAAATAAAGAAATTAAGGACTTTCTAGAATTTAATGAAAATTAACACACAGCATACCCAAAATATGGGACACAATGAAAGCAGTGCTAAGAGGAAAGTTTATAGCTCTAAGTGCCTACATTAAAACAAAAACAAAAACCTGGAGAGATCTCATACTAGCAAATTGACAGCATATCTGCAAGCTTTGAACAAAAAGAAACAAGCACACTAAAGAGGAGTAGATGGCAAGAAATAATCAAACTGAGAGCTGAAATCAATAAAATAGAAACAAAGAAAACAATATAAAAAAATCAATGAAACAGAGAGTTGGTTCTTTGAGAAAATCAACAAAATAGACAAACCCTTATCCAAACTAACTAAAGGATGGAGAAAGAATATCCAAACTAACAAATCATAAATTTAAAAGGGTATATAACAATAAACACTTAAATTCAGAGAAAACTAAGTATCTTGGTGTTTCTATTGCTGTGAAAAAGCACCATGACTCTTAAAAGGGAAAACATTTCATTGTGGCGGCTTGCTCACAGTTCAGAGGTTTTAGTCATTATTATCATGGTAAGACATAGCAGTGTGCAGGCAGACATGATACTGGAGAAGCAGCTTAGAGTTCTACATCTTACAGGCAACAGGAAGTAGTCTCAGACATTGGGTGGTATCTTGAGCATATATGAGACCTCAAAGCCCCCCCCCAACAGTTTCTCCAGTGAGACCACATCTACTCCAACAAGGTCACACCTCCCAATAGTGCTACTCCCTTCGGGGACCATTTTCTTTCAAACCACCACATAAAGACATACTTCAAAAACCTGTATACCACCAAATTGGAAAATCTAAAAGAAATGGATCATTTTCTTGATAGGTACCACTTACTAAAGTTAAATTAAGATCAGGTAAACAATTTAAATATACCTATAAGCCCTCATGAAATAGAAGTAGTCATTAAAAGTCTCCCAATCAAAAAAAAAAAAAAAAAAAAAAAAAAAAAAAAAAAAACAACCCAGGACCAGTCAGTGTTAGTGCAGAATTCTCTCTCCCAGAGTTTCAAAGAAGAGTAATTAATGCAATACTCCTCAAATTTTACACAAAATAGGAACAGAAAGAACAATTGCCCAGTTCATTTTATGAGGTCCCAGTTATCCTGATTTCCAAACCACATAAAGACTCAACAATGAGAATTACAAACCAATTTCCCTTATGAACATGACGCAAAAATACTTTTTTCTTACTTGTTTTTTATGATAGGGTTTCTCCGTGTAGCCCTGGCTATCCAGGATCTCACTTTGTAGACCAGACTAGCCTCAAACTCACAGAGAAACGCCTGCCTCTGTCTCATGAGAGCTGGGACTAAAGGTGTGGACCACCACAGCCTAGCTTAAGGAAGAATATCTGTTCTACAGTCTTTTCTTCTCTTTGATACAGGGTTTCTCTGTGTAGCTTTGGAGCCCGACCTGGAACTAGCTTTATAGACCAGGCTGACCTTGAGATCCACTTGCCTTTGCCTCCCAATTGCTGGGGTTAAAGATGTGTGCCACCACTGCCCAGCAAAAATACTAAATAAAGGCTCTCCACTCCTCCTTGTTCTAGAGACAGCCCCATCTTTCCATGCACTGCAGCCTCATTCCTGAGACACAATGGTGAAAGTCGGAGTGAACGGAATTGGCCGTATTGGACACCTGGTTACCAGGGCTGCCTTCATTTCTGGCAACGTGGAAATTGTTGCCATTAGTGACCTCTTCATTGACCTTAACTACATGGTCTATATGGTCCAGTATGACTCTACCCATGGCAAGTTCAAAGGCACAATCAAGGCTGAGAATGGGAAGCTTGTCATCTTCATCAGTGGGAAGGCTATCACCATCTTCCAGGAGCGAGGTCCCACCAACATCAATGGGGTGATGCTGGCACCGAGTATGTTGTGGAGTCTACTGGCATCTTCACCACCATGGAGAAGGCTGGGGCCCACTTGAAGTGTGGCATAGAGGGTCATCATCTCTGCTTCTTCTGCTGATGCCCCATATTTGTGATGTGTGTGAACATCAAAATTGTCAGCAATACTTCCTGCACTACCAACTGCTTAGCCCCTCGGCCAAGGTCATCCATGGCAACTTTTGCATTGTGAAAGGACTCATGACCACAATCCATGCCATCATTGTCACCCAGAAGACTGTGGATGGCCTTTCCGGGAAGCTGTGGCATGATGGCCTTGGGGCTGCTCAGAACATCATCCCTGCCTCCACTCGGGCTGCCAAGACTGTGGGCAAGGTTATCCCAGAGCTGAATGGGAAGCTCACTGGCATAGCCTTCTATGTTCCTACCCCAATGTGTCCACTGTGGATCTGACATGCCGCCTGGAAAAAGCTGCTAAGTATGAAGCCATCAAAAAGGTGATGAAGGCTCACTGAAGGGCATCCTGGGCTACACCGAAGACCATATTGTCTCCTGAGACTTCAATAGTGACTCCCACTCTTCTCCCTCTGATGCTGGGGCTGGCATTGCTCTCAATGACAACTTCGTAAAGCTCATTTCCTGGTATGACAATGAATTTGGCTACAGCAACAGGGTGGTGGACCTCACAGCCTACATGGCCTACATGGCCTCCAAGGAGTAAGAAGCCCACCCTGGACCATCTACCCCCAGCAAGGACATGAGCAAGAGAGAAGTCCTGGCTGCTGAGCAGTCCCTGCCCAACAACCCCCAACACTAAACTCCCTCACAGTTTCCATCCCAGACCCCCAGAATTAAGGGGCTTAGGGAACCCTACTCTCTTGAGTACCATAAATAAAGTTCACTGTACCTGTCCAAAAATAAAAACTCAATAAAATACTTACAAACTGAATCCAAAAATACATCAAAAAGATCATCCACCATGACCAAATTAGATTTCATCTCAGAGATTCGGGGATGGTTCAACATACAAAAATCATTAAATGCAATCCACCATATAAACAATCTAAAAGAAAAACTTCATGATAATCTCATTAGATGCAGAAAAGCCCTTTGACAAAAATGTAACATCCCTTCATGATAAAATTTCTGGAGAGATCAGGGATACAAGCAAGCCTACAGTCGACATCAAATTAAATGGAGAGAAACTCAAAGTAATTCCATTAAAATCAGGAACAAAACAAGGTTGTTCTCTCTCTCCCTATCTATTCAATATAGTACTTGATGTTTTAGCTGCAGAAATAAAACAACTAAAGGAAATCAAGGCGATACAAATTAGAAAGGAAGAAGTCAAAATATCATTTGCAAATATCATAAGCAATCCTAAAAAGCCTTCCAGGTAACTCCTACAGCTGATAAACTCAGAAAAGTGACTAGATACAAAATTAACTTTAAAAAGTCAGTAGCCCTCCTATATACAAATGACAAATGGGCTAAGAAAGAAATTGGAGAAACAACACCTTTCACAATAGCCACAAATAATGTAAAATATTGTGGGGTAACTCTAACCAAGCAAATGAAAGGCAATAACTTCAAGTCATTGAAGAAAGAAAGTGAAGAAGTTGGAAAGATCTCCCATGTTCATTGGTAGAGTTGGCAGGGAAGGACAGCTGGAATTGGGCCGCACTTGAGGGATGGTGTGGAACCTCGTGCAGTAGAAACTTCCTGGTAACTATGAAAATTATCCTTGAAGGACTCCTAGTAATGGGGAATACAGAGTCTGAACTGGCCATCTCTGGTAGCCAGCTAAGGCTCCCAGTGGCAGGACTAGCTTGCATTCAGTTGAATTGTTGGCCAAGGGAGTCTAACAGAGATTCCCCCCCTCAAACAGCTGAGGCTCATGCTAGGACAAAGGGATGCTGCCTACAAACTGCCAGCAGGGCCCCATTGCCAAAGATAACATCCACAGGTCATTGAACGTGGAGAGCTGGTACTTGCATGGAGCCTTCATGCCACATTCTAGTCTCTTTGGTGTAGGAAGATACTCTACAGGCACCAGAATACTTTCTCACCAAAAGAGAAACATGGACACCAATCCAACCATGAAACCTTTGTCCTTCATCCTGCCTACAAGATGTTCTGGAGAGAAGATGCCACAGAACTTGTAGACGTAGCCAATCAATGTCTGATTTAATTTGAGGCCCACTCATCGAGAGGGAGTCCATACCAGACATTGGTTGGCTGGCCAGAAACCAGAGACTTGGTGTCCCAGGGACCTAGAATAGAGCTAAACAGTTTTTAAAAACTCAGTTAAATAATTCAGTGACATCCTGCTATACTCATAGATTGGAGCTTTGTCCAGTGGCCATAAGAAAGGCTTCCTCTGGCAGCAGATAGAATACAGAGACCCACGGGTAGACATTATGTGGAGAGAGTCTATATTTGAGGCCTCCATTGGGTCCATCCCCTCAGAGCTCAGGGAATCACTAAGAGAGGAGGAAAGGCTGTAGGAGTCGGAGGGGATGGAGGACACCAGAAGAATATGGCCTAAGCAGGGCTCACATGGGCTCACAGAGACTGAGGTGGCAAGCTTGGGAGCTGCAGCAGGTCCTCTGTGTATGTTGGGCTGTCAGCTTGGTGATTTTGAGGGGCTCCTAACTGTGGGAGCAGGTGTGTCTCTGACTCTTTTTGTCTGTTCTTGGGACTCTTTTCCTCCTATTGGGTTGTCTTGTCCAGCCCAGGTATAAAGCTTTTGCCTTGTCTTATTGTATTTTGTTTTGTATTCTTAGAGGCCTGCTCTTTTCTAAGGGAGACTGAGGCAGAGTGGATTCAGGGGAGAGGAGAGGAGTGGGGAGGAATGGAAAGAGGGGAACTGTGGTATGGATGCATTGTATGAGAAGAATCTATTTTCAATAAAAAATAAATAGATATATAAATAAGAATTAAAAATATGTTCAAAAAGTAGAGTGCTATTGTGCAGCTGTGCAGGGAAAGGAAGGCCAGCAGGGCCTTGACACCAGCTTATCTGAGGCATACCAGTTTCACAAAGTTGAAAACCCTTAAGTGGACTCCAATAAAAGTCTCTGCACCTGGGCCTGGTGGTGGCACAAGCCCTTAATCCCAGTACTTAGGAGGCAAAGGCACTTGGATGTCTGTGAGTTCAAAGCCAGCCAGGTTTACATAGTGAGATCCAGGCCAGCCCTGGCTATAGACTGAAACCCTGTCTTAAAAGAAAAGAAAAGAAAAACACTATCTGCACCCGTGCTTCTCAGACACAATCTTAAACCGGGTTTCCTGCCGTGTGCCCAGTGAGGGCTCCTCCGTGCAGCAGCACAGGGAGCTGGGAAAGCTGGCATTGTTCCCAGCAGCTGAAATCTGTGGCTCTCTTTCTCTCTGTCTCTGGCTTCTCACATGTCTTCCCCTTTACACCCTGTGTCCACATCACACATCATCACTGCACACTAGAATTGTGCTCTGAAGAGGATCTAAGCCCTCCATGCTACTCATGGCGCAAGACTGAGGGTCATAGGCCTTGTTATTTAACTGTAGTGAGAACTAAATGACACCTATTATGCACCTAGAAGTTGAATTTGAGTCTGAGCCTAGGTTATGAGGGCTTTGGGGGATTGCAGGCAGACAACACCAAGCTGAGCTACGTATCCCAGGCTGTCCTCAAACTCCAAACCCTTGTGTTTCAGCCTTCAGCCTAGGATTTCACATGTAGGCCATTAACCCAGTTTAACTTCTGGCTTTTTTTTTTTTTTTTTGGCCCCTAGCTTTGTTTGCATATGAGGTTTGTTTGTAAGATTCCCTAGTGCCTCAGAGTCCAGATCAAAGACCAACAACATGGGATAAACGGCCAGGGAGTGTGGCAGAATTAAAGAACATCACAAAGGAGCCAGCCAGGGGTTACAAATTCCAAATCCAGCCTTTATTTCAGTGGCGGAGCAGAGAGGAGGCTCAACCTAGGTTAGGTCATTCCCAGACAGAGACGGCTGGACAGGAGCCCTGGGAATGCCTCTCCACCCAGCTAGGAGGTCGGGAGGGAAAGAAGAAGACAATACTGGTGCTGCCACTTCCACAGCTGCCACAGCCAGGAGCTGGGCGACCTCAAGCAGCCAGCTGACCTCCAGAGGTCAGGACAGACCCAGACTCAGGCAAGGCTCGGACAGGCACAGCAGCCATTTTGAGAGTGTACAGACTCAACAAATGAGGAAACTCAACAAATGGGGGCCCCCAAACAGCATCGATATTTCACAAAGGGGTCCCCCAGGGCCTGCAGACTGAATGCCCAGGGAAGCACAACCACAGTGAGACACTCAAAGAGGCCTCCATAGCCCCCACCCCCACCCCTTGTGCTGTGCAGCAAGGGTAGGAGCAGGTCTGGAGGGCAAAGAGAGGAGAAGGTCAATGAAAAGCATAGGAGAACACTGGCAGGACATGCATGGGTGAGGACGTGAAAAACGGCCGAGGGCCTCTAGCTGCTGGCCTGTGGCTCCTGCTGGCACTCCTGCTGGCGAATGAGGTTGGCCATGGGACTGGTGATACCGCCTATCATGGTCCAGTATTCATCAAAGCTGATGCGCCCGTCGTGATTGGCATCCAGGTTCTGGATGAGCTTGTCGGCTGCCTTTCGGTTCCCTGTGTCCTGCAGAAGAACCAGAGTCAGTAAGGCTTGGGGTGAGCCAGGCAGGACCCGGAATCAGCCCTGAGAGCTGCTGCCTTGGCCACGGGGGGAGGGGGAGGTAGCCGGGGGGTGGGGGGGTGGGAGAGGCCACTGAGCAGGGCGTGGAGGTGGGACGGGTGTTACTGTGAGGAGCAGAGTAGACAGGGAGAGCAGAAGTAGGGCTACCGTCAGCATGTGGTTCAGCTCTCTCTGGAGCATCTTGCGGAAGCTGCTCTTGCTGATCTTGTTCTTGACCAGGCTGTGCTTGGATACATATTTATAGAAGTTTTCCACCAGGACGACAACGGCCTTCTCCAGCTCTGTATAGCAGTCAGCCATCTCACTGCCTCAGTCCTGTCTGGGCCTAGGAACCATAGAGAGGAGATGAGAGAGGCATCCACACACACAGCCCCCAGCACCCCACAGGCTTGTCTTCTGGAGCAGGATGGGGAGCAGGCCTGGCACAGCAGAGTGTGGGGGTGGCCCCAAAGGGAGAGCTATGTGGCTCCTCTAATCCAGGTGTTCCCCAGCCAGACTGCCAACTGCCAAAACAGGTTCTCCAGGTCCTCTGCATGCCCTGGGCAGCCATGCTGCCTGTCAGAGCCCTCTGCGAGCAGGAGGCTCCTGTGGGAAGAGCAGGCAGGTAACTGTCCCCCCCAAGCACACCCAGGCCTCCTATTCTAAGGAACCATAGTGGGAAGAATAGAGACAGAGAAGTCCAGGGCTTTTATCTTCTATCCCAAACTGGCTGAGACCCCATCCCTAGGCCACAAACCAGGAAAATAGCCCCTGGCTCACCTCAACCCCTTGCAAAGACTCTAAGGCAGTGAGTTCTGGGGCCCAGGCCACCATTGCCCCTGTCTAGGAAAGAGCAAGGTCCAGCTCCATCAGTCCATCAGATTAGATTTCGTGTGGGTCCTCTCCTGGCCACACCCTGTCAGCCTTTCCTGAAACCATTCCTAAGTATACACCATGGCCCAACGACACCCTTCACCCCATTACCTAAGAAGATGCAGGCCCAGTTCTGCCCCAGCTGGAGACAGACTGGCCTCTGGACG